GTGCTGTGCCACAACGACCTCCTGTGCAAGAACATCATCTACGACAGGACACGAGGTCTGTGTGTCCCCAGGGCTGTCACTGTCACAAATCACAGAATTATTATAGCCAGGTGCTTTTATTGAAGAGCTCTGGGTGTCAGGGGTACTGACCCAAAGCTGACTCCAACATGGGTTCGGGATTAATACGTTAATCTACATATTAACTGCATATTAATTATTAAACTTATATTGTTCTGTTGTATACATTGATTTCATCCAAGCACGGATTCTTGTAATTGCCATCAAACCCCCCCAAACATCGTTTCTCATGATTCTTGTTACAATTAAACAATAATTATATCTAATTACCAATCAATCATTGAATTTAACTATAATTATATCTAATTACTAGATATCTAATGTAATCAGTCATTACATTTAGCAGTAGTTGTATCCAATTACCATTCAGTCATTAAATTTAACAATCATATCATTTATCATATTTATATGATAAATATGACCAATATTATAATATTTATAAATATTATAAAATTATAAATATTATAATATAAGGAAAATACACTATAAATATATTTATATTTATTTAAATATTATTTTATAATATTTAAATACATTATGAAAACTTAAATATAATAAATTTATAAATATGACAGTATGATTAAAACATAATATAAATATATTAGTATTTATTTGACTATGATGTTCTAATATTTATAAATATTATAATAAATATAAGTTAATTAGTTTATAAATATGATCATATAATGAATATATAAATATGTTTTATATAGTTACATATTATGTTATAATATTACTAAATATGATAATAAACATAAATATAATACTTTTTAAAATATTATAATATAGTGTAAAGTAATTAAAATATTTATTAAATATTATATTAAAAATTAAAATATTATAATGTGATGTAATATAAATATATTTAATATTTTAAATATATTTAAATATTTAATATTTTAAATATATTTAAATTTAAATATTTTAAATATATTTAATATTTAATTAAATATTATGTTAAATATTATGATATAACATTTATTATTATTAT